TTTAATCCTCGCAACAGACCTGCCAAGTCTGTGCATTATTCTCTTTTTGCAGAAAAGAATACTGAAGTGAGCCTTGAACTAAGGTTCAAAGAGAAAAAACAGTTTGCCTAACAGCAGGCAGCTGAAGAACCAGGATTCAAACATGGGACTGCCTTGCTCCAGAACCTGAGTTCTTTCCTCTAAAATTAGAGTACCTGGCCGATTGGTTGACTTGGTTAGAGCGTGGTGCTGATAACACCAAGGTCAAGGGTTCAGTTCCCTGTACTGGCCAAGCACCAAAAAAAAAACCCCCAAAAAACAAAAAGAATAACGTAAAGAAATTTAAACCCCCAAATAGCATCTGTATGTTGTTAGTCTTCAGACACTGGTGAGATCGATGACGCAGGTTGCAGCAGTATTGTCCCCTCTTTCTAGTATCTGTTTGAAACGAATTGCAGTAAAGTAATAGAATTTAGGATTCTGAAAGTGGGTGTCTGGTTTTTCGTGTCAAGATCACCAGTACAAAAAAGTATGTGTGTTTCGTTTCTGTGTGTGCATGTGAGCCTGCACCTAGGAGTATAGCTATGTTTTATGGGTCTGAAGCTTATAACGTGGGGGAATACAGATATTTCTAAGACTCTGTGCAGGGACCTGTGCAGGTAAAAGGCCCTGAAGCTCACTAGTTTCATGACAAATCCACCTGTGCACGTCTGTGTGTGCACATGAACTGTGCATGTGTGCGTGAAGATATACCGAGGAACTAGCAAAAGCTACAGTCCCTTGATTGGAACCTTGGCTTTGTTGCTTAACATAATAGAAGCACTAGTTGGTACTAGTTATCTCTTTTCTGGGAAGACAGAGAAGATTTATCAAGATTCAGATGGGTTAAGCATTTTTTGAAAAGTACCTTTCAATTTAAGCCAATAGTCTTAGCTAAGTTAGATACACAAAGGTCCTTCAAAAAGTTCAGAAAAATTGAATTAAAAGAAAATACGAATCCTTCCATGAACATTTTGAAGACCTCTCTTACAATTCTATAACTCATGCTCTTTAGTTCCAATAGGCAAATAAATACAACTTATTTTTTTTTTCCTTTTTTGTCTTTTTTCGTGTCCGGCAACGGATCGCAACCCTCAGTGTCGCGCCCGTACCGGACCGGGACCGGCAACGGGATCGCAACCCTCGGTGTTGCTCCCACACCTCGCTCAGCCAGTGAGCGGGAACCGGTCTGTATGTGGGATCCGAACCCTCAGCGGGAGCACCACGGCGCACTGTAGCAGTGCGCCATCAGGCTGGCCCAATACAACTTATTTTTAAATGTCTTCTTTATTTCAGAGATCCTTTAGTTAGTATTACTTTTTAGATGTGATCTTCTGCATATATGAAGATTTGAATAATGTATAAAGGCTGGGTGTTAGAGTTACTAAGGGACACTGAACGTGAAGTAGGATGGAAGGGTTATCTTCATTTATTTAGAAAAATGTTGTCGACAAGACCCATGTTCTGTGTTATTCCTAAAGCCAAAACTAAGAACCAAGGTACGGGGATTGCTGGGGAGGCCAGATTCCAGCTCAACAGAAGAACTTTCTATCGACTAGGGCTGTTCAGAAATGGTTTGCTTATGCTGTGGCTGGCTGCCCATCACTGGAAGTTCTCAGACAAAGCAACTTCTTGGCTGGGGAAGGCGAGGTGGGGGACTCTTAGTGAGCAGAAGAGTTTCAATCTAAGAAATCTGCAGAATCCTCTCTAGGTCTAAGATTCCAAGTTACTCTGGGCACACACTGCCAGTCGCACACACAGCGCAGGCACAGTAAATTGGTTCCCGTCCCATGGTAGTGGTGTGCTTATGGCCAGCCAGCTGCATTCCCTGCCTGAGCTGCTGGTTGCTGAGGAAACGTGTCTGTGAGTGGACTGATCCAGCTCTGGCCACACTCGAGAGTCTTAGAATTCAGTTTTTTCTTCGGTCCCCTAGTATCTGGGACCTCAGGTCCATGCTTCTCATGGATGGCACTTAAGAATGTTGTCATGCTGGTTCTCATAATAGGCTTACGGTTGAAACTGGCAGAGTCCCGCTTGACTGGCCCCTCTGCCTGCTTTCTCCTGCACACTCGGAGAGAAACCTTCTCAGTCTGCCTCCCTTTGCCGGCTTTGGGATGAGAGGCAAAAGCCAGCCAGCACCGAAGGCCTGGGGACAGTGGGGCAGCGCACATCCTAGCCCCGCTGTGGAGTTCGTCCACGAGGTTGGAAAGAGGTGTCCAGAGAGCCCCATGGGAGACTGGTCACAGTCAACCTTCTTCGCCCTTTCTGGGGGGACATAAAACTGACCATAATCCAGACACTCCTGCATGGGAGACCTCCTTAGGGGTCTACAGATCTGTCCCAAACTACTTCGTAAATAATAATAATAGTAATGGTAGTGCTGGTGGTGGTAACAGCAGCAGCTACTGATAACTGAGCTTTTCCTCTTTGCCTGGTGCTGTGATGAATTTATTGCATGGATCACTTCATTGAATCCTCACAATAGTCCTGCAAGGTAGATACCATTAACATTGCCATTTCACAGATGAGGAAACTGAGACCTAGAGAAGTTAAGGGGCGGGCCTGAGGAGGCACCCGTCTGACTCCAGAGCATAGACTGTTACCATTCTGCTGTAATGCCTCGCCTTCTGTGTGCACACAGAGAAATGAGAACACAGAAAAGGAAGTGGCCCGCCACCCTCCAGACCTTGCTTTAGCCACCCCACCAGGGAGCTCTTCCAAGCCCAGAGTGCCTCCACGGGGGGCAGCAGGCTCACCAGACCCTGCTCTAGGCACTCTGGACGTTTCCATCACTCATCCCACACGGGAGTCAGCTGAGGTCGGTGCTGTTATCTGCATTTTCAGAGAAGTTCAGGGACTTGCTGAAGGTCAGCTGGTGCAGAGGAGCCGGGGCTGAAGCCTGCAGCCTGCCTCTGCCATCTGCGCACCACACTGCCACATCAGCCCGCCCTGTGAAGGGACCGAAGTTGAACACCCTCCCAGACACTAAATTTATATTTCCTGGCCTCCCCTTCCAAAATGGATACACTAATTACTGACCATTTTTTTTAGTAATCGTAATCATCAGGAACACATTTTTAAATGTTTTCGTTTTCTATTCTGCATACTACCGAAATAAAACATTGATCAAACGCACAGGATTAAGCCCAGCAAATGTGAGGCCATGTATATTAGGAAAAGTTCAGGAAGACATTACACTAAACCAAGAGAAACAAAGTGTTGATTAGGGACTTATTTTTGTATGAGATTAAAATATGAATCATTAAAATAGGACTGTATTTCAGGCGCCGTCTCCCCATCTCATCAGAGACATCACCATGACTACTAGATTTGGATTCCATGAGTTCTGAAGCACTTCTCAGCTCTAAAGTGCAATCATGTGGGCCATGATTCTACCTTACACACAAGATTTTCAAAAGTCTGATTCAGAATACTTCTGCATCTTCCTGCCCATCTCCTTTTAGTGAAATACCCAACAGACATGATGTCTTCAGATCTTTGAAGTCTTTTACTTTATTTAATCATAATAGTAAGCAGTGGCAGTAAGTTATACTAATAGCAACCAAAATTCAAAGGCAGAGGAAGGAATAAAGTCAAAGCAAAGATACAAGGTTCCCTCAGGAATCGCTTAAAATACGGTATCCATGGGACTGCATTTGGTGCACTTGGTAGAGGATCGGAGGTTTGCAGAAAGAAAGAAATTAACATGAAACGTTTCTCAGGTTCATGCTGAGTTTAGAAGAAAAAATAATATAGTAATATCTACAGCCCCAAAATATGCAGTTAAATTAAGTTGTTAATTAAAGTATCTGTTACAAATGGCTAAAATTAGAGACAAAGGTCCATTGTCTGGTACAATTGTTGACTCCCTATCTGTATGTGGGGAAGGGTGTGGGAGGACAGTCAGAGGCCTGTGGTATTTTAAAGATTAATCACCCACCCCTAAAGGGTTTTTGAGGCACCCACCTGCATTTTGAACTTGGATCTAAGCCAGATGGGTGGGACAAGATCATGACAGGTTTTGTTTTGGGGTTTTTTTTTTTTTGCTAATTAACCACTCCATGAACACTTCAAATACCAAATATATCAGAACAGAGGGCCCCCTGCCCAAACCTGCCCCCACCATCTTCTGCAAGGGACTGACATCTCAAGATAATTTTCTAGGGATTACAGAATCTTGGGGCAATGCCTTTATGTATTTTTAAAGAAGGAAAGCATCCCAGAATGTGCTAGTTCCTTGTAGAGCACCTTTGGTAGTCAGCACCTCTGACCAGACTTGTGAATTTTTTTTGTATTTATTCTTCTTCTGCCTGGGATTGGGGTGCATTAGAAAGGCATATTTTTCTCTGTGGGGACGATTTCTATGACAAATCTATGAGTTGTCATTGGGACATTAAAAATGTTCATACTTAACAAATTTGTAATTCTTCTTTGAATAAAGAGCAAGCAAAGATAGAGATAAAAGGGATATTTCTACAAAAGTAATAGCAATAGATTGGGACAATTTAAAGTTCCAATAAGGTCTGGTGTATCCCTCTGATGGGCTATTATTGTGCAGCTACTGAAGCAGTTCAGTAATGTGAGAAAGTCTTCAAAACCTAATGTGGAAGAAAAATAAGAAGATACTAAACTATTAAAAGCCTGATTCTAACTGTATAGCTAAAGATAGCATTAACAGGGCTTCCTGCTGCTAGTGATAAGATTATAGGTGGTTTTTGATTTCTTCCTGGTTTTCTGCATTTTTTAGCTTTTTTTGTACATAACTTTTATAGTCAAAAAAGTTTGATTCAAATAATGCCATGGCTCTCACCTTTTGAGTTTCAAGCGCTGCGTCCTGTCCCCTTTAAGGACAGGACTCCACGGGGTGGGCAGCACACCTGTTTTGCTCGTCATGATATCCTCAGTCCAGTGCCAGGCACACGGCTCAAGCTCACTAAGTCATTGTTGAATAAAGTATTCCCGTTTCTTCTTCTTCCCAGGTGATGTGCTTTATGAACTCCTTCAGCATATTCTGAAGCAGAGGAAACCCAGGATCCTTTTTTCACCGTTCTTCCACCCTGGAAACTCTATACACACCCAGCCGGAGGTCATGCTGCATCAGAACCACGACGAAGGTACTGGAGGAGGCGTCTCTTTCCTTGCCTGAGGTTTAGACAAATCCAGGAGGTTTACTTGTTAACTTGATGAAGCTGTTGTCTTTTGTGTGATTCATTTTTCATTCAGCAAACATTTACTGAGTGCTTACTATGTATAAGGCACTGGGGGAAGGCCTCAATGGATACGCCTGGTTCTCTGAAGCTCACAGCCTAAGTGAAGCAGTGCAATGGATATACACATGAGTAGAAAGCATAACTGTAATACATGGGGCCAAAAAGGGAGGTGGAAGGGGAGATTACATCCAGGTACAAGAAGCAGGGTCAGCTTCAAAGGGGAGGGGGCTCTGGAGGATTCTTTGAAGTCCAGCAGGGTTCTGATAAGTACGGATAAAGTGGAACACATTCCAGCAGAGAAGATGCTGTGAAGGTGGGGTAAGACCTTGGTGTCAAGAGCAGTCAGAGGACATGCACTGTAGAGCTTCTCTGCCCCCGCCCACCCTTTTATTATGAAACATTACAAACACACCTCAGAGAGAATAAACAAACCCCTGTGAACCATCACCCTGCTTCAACAGTGATCAGCATTTTGCCATTGCAGAGCTAGTCCAGGGAGGTTAGATTGAACCAGAAGGTGGAGAACTTTGATTTTTAATACAGAGGAACATAATGGGGAGTCATTGAAGGTGTTTGAGCAGGGGGGTAATCAAAGCTGGGGGGGACCCAAACCCTGTGAACTTGCATTCACTCAGGCTCTCTGCATCATGCACCAAAGGGTTATCAGCGTGGACTCCCTGGCAGGGCTTATTTCAGATGTCCCAGTTGCTGCTCTGCTCTTGAGTTCACAGTAGTCGTAAAGTCGTTGGTAGAAAATGGAAGACCAGAATTGGAATGTGGCCCTGGACATAGTTCCAAAGTAGGTGTTTGGGTGCAGAAACAGTTGAGCGCCGTTCCATCGAACAGCTGAGTGTAGGTAGAGTAGCATTCGGTGACGAGTTGTGCCTCCGAGGGTCATTATGTCGATGTCCTCCTGCCCAGACTGGTCGGATGACAGAGTGCAGATGCGTGGCAGTACTTTTTCACGTGGACTCCTCCTTAGGAACAGGTTACAAGGGACCTAAAACCCTGGTCCATGGGGGTACTTCCTTAAATTGATTGATCTTCCCCAAGGACAGGGCTAATATTTTTGTTTTGTTACTGGCAAATTTTAAAATGAGAGGTTTTTTGTTTTCTTAACTAACACTTCACAAAAGAGCCTGACTCCAGACAACCGATGTCGTCTCCTTGTGCCAAACATTTCACAGCAGGTCCCCACGCTTCCGTGATGGAGAATAAACGAGCATTTCTTGCATGCTCCCTGCCTCTTTCTCTCATCCTTTCCTCCCCTAGCTTTACCCTTGCTAAATTTAGCAGCTGCCCTCCTCCCCTAATTCGGTTTTTACGTTCCTTTGCTCTTCCTGCCATGAACATTTCCAGCTTGCATAATAGCCAACAGCCACACAGAGAAAGGAGGTGGGTTTACTGAAGCTTGACATTAAGGCAAGCATTATATTACGTAGCCTGCCTTTCCAGATACAGAGGGTGTGAGATGGGGTTTTTTTCTCTCTTTCTCTCATTATTTTAAAAAAAAAAAAAATTCCACTTGGAATTTCTATTCCCTTTTTATTCCCAAATGTGATTGGAGGCTTACGGTCTCACCTCGTCACAAGCGCTTCCTCCTTTCCTCTTGTCCTGATTTGACTCACAAGTAGGCGTGTTTGTCATTGTTCTCATTTGCAGGAGCTCATCAGTAGAGAAAACTGGCTTACTCTGAGAGCCACTCTCAACCCAAGTAAATACAGATGTGCCAACGCATAGGCTGTAATGAGCTGTGCCCTCAGTGTTATGACGTCAGGGTGATGAGCTCTGCAGGTGAGAGAATGGAGCTAATGAGGCCAAGGTTAAGGCTTCATTGCCCTGCGGACCAGTTAGCTCTGCTTCAGACCCAGCTCTTAAAAGTAGCGCACACTCAGAGACCATTCCTTAAGGCTGACGGCCATGAAGCAAAATCTGGAAGACATGCCCTGCTCCTTTGCCTATTCAGATGAACAGGTAGGCACAACCAGAGGGGAAGTGTAGGTCTTCATCAGGGGGTATCCAGTGAGAAGAGCTGTTCAGGGCACAGAGGTGATGTGAAGAGCTGTCCCTCCCCCAGATTTTCAGATACAGCAGTGCCCTTGATGGCAAGAGAGGTGAAGGGGTCTGTACAAATTCCCTACCTCCAGCCACCTTTTCTCTCTGCTTCTCCACCAGAAAGAAAAAAAACCCCTAGCTCAATCTGAATTGTCTCTAAATCAATACTGTTATATTTCATTGAGAAGGGCAACAGATGATTGATGTTAACATACAGAAAGATCTTGTCCTGGAAAAAACAAAATCTGTAAAATGAAATTATGCATATCAAATACTACTTCCCCAATGATTTAATTTACATAATCAGGGATACAGTACCATGTAAGAGTATGTTGGCCCATTGACTTGGCACAGATACATGTGTACATGTCAATGAATGGCAGAACGGAAGGAGAGTGCAGCACCCCTTCCAGAGAGGCCCACCTCGGCACCTGAGCAGCCTGGTGAGGTGAGGCGTGCAGACTGAAGCGCACACGCAGGCTTCATTCGGCCCCTGTAGCTTCACCCATCACAGCCACCAGCTTCACCAGTTCAGACATCTACAATTTCACAACAGGAAATTATATCACAGTACAAATGTGTCTTGTTCAATCTAGCAACAGTTCCCAACAAATACTTCATGAGTACATCATATTGAAATCTCACCTTCCTTACTAGCTGCTGCATGGCAGCATCAGAAGCCAGGAAGCCTGTGTAGCTCAGAGGTTCCCCTCCATGCCCTGATGGGAGAGGAGGGGGATCACACTAATTCATACTCTTTATTTTGTAAACATTCATTATCTCTATGATGTACTCTGTTCTGAAATAGTGTTATGCCTTGAGCAAAGATTTCCACCTCCATGTAAGAAAGCCAGCATTTCCATGCTCTTCCCTTATTATTTATGGGAAGGGAGGACAGTATCATATAATTAGGTTAACCCTACGATTTTCATCCATACTGAGACACTTAAGACAATGACACAGGGCTCCATTAATAAATAAGCCAGGACAACAGGCATGCCAGAACCATCCCAGACCAACTGGAATGTGTGTGTGTGTACATATGTGTGTATAATTTTTTTGAAGGATGAGATCTGGAACTCAGAAACCAGGTTCTGATCCTCTAATCTGCCAGAACAAATCATGAAGGCTAAGTTGCTCATTTCTCTGGCTCTCAGATTCCCCAGTTGTAAGATGGGGTTGTAGACTAAATGTTCTCCAACATCTCTTACATCTCTAAAATCCTCACGTTATATCTGAGATGTCTGAGTCTCTCTGGGTGATATGAAGACCTCAGGGTCTTAGCAACTAAAATCTAGAAAATCATAACAGTGTCCTGCCTGGTGTTGCTCAGAAACAGAAAATCTCTTTTCTTCCCATATGTCTCACCTTACTGAGAACATCTGATAATATTGCCACTCTCAGTGGTCAAACCAAGGGTAGCGTCATTCGCTTATTTCATGGTAAAAAGCTCAGTTTAAGTGGGTTCCTTTTCTTTGACTGTTATGACTCATTTTGTCTGCACAATATGAATTACATGGTAGGTCAGTAGGTAGGTAGCAAGGAGAGAAAATAAACAATCATACTACTTTTTTCACAAAACCCAGAAAGCAAAACATCTTTAGAAATTTCAGACCAGCAAGTGATTATAAAATTATTTTGTCACTCACAGTTGTAGTAACAACTTCTTTTGATACCTTAGGTTCCAAAATCAGTTACTTTTAGAATAACTTACTTTAACTCCTTTTCAAAGAAAGGCTTTGTCCCCAAGATATATATTCAATCACTACTAGTTCTTTGGTAGTGGAACTACTTGAGAAATAGTTCCCTAAAAGGTGATTGGGCGATATAAAATCAGCTTCCAGTCTGGGCTAAAGTCTCCGAATGGGGCCGGCTGTGCAGAACAATCCACATAGGACGGGACATGTGCACAATCTGTAGGGAGAGGGAACAAGATCTGTGTGTCTCAAACATCCCTGGGGGGGACCCTCCTATCATTTCAACTCTCAGTCCCATCCTTTCCGATGCCCTTTCTAAGAGACTATGGGAGGTAATTTTTAATCACTTTAATTGGAGATATTTACACACATAATGCCATGATTGCTTCTGCAACAGCGGACGCAGTTTTAAGGTGGCAGCTCTGCTCTGGTGCAGCTCTTTGCTTCAAGGTGAACATGGAAATTACAAGTGATGATGAGAAATTTGGGGCATTGATATACTGTTGATCTCAATTTTCCTTACAACTAGCACATGGGAATGGCCCGGATAATAGAGAGGACTCATTTTGTGGGGGATGGGGAGGGTGGCATGCATCATGCAATGGCCCAGAGAAATTTTATTTATATGATTTCTTTGTTGCGGGGAATATTACCCCCCCACCATCACTACCACCACCAAACCCAAGTGCCCAAAGACTGCTTTGAAGAAATGAAATCTTATACTATTTTAATGAGATAATTAAAGAAGATGGGATATGTGGATCTGCTTCATAATAAAATAATAGCTAACACATATTGGGTCCTGCACCCTGTTCTAAGATCTTAAATGTTTGAATCACTTAATCTTCACAACCACCCAATAAAGAAGGTAATATTATTATTGCCACTTTATAGATGACCCCAAATCAAGTAGCAAAGCTAAGGTTTAAACCCAGTCAGGGCTGACTCCAACGCCTGTGTTCATTCCACTGCAGCATGAATGAGCAAACAGAAATAACATTTTTATAAATTTTTGTTGTGCAGATGTCCTGAAAATAGGGAGGATGAATCAAAGATGAGTAGAAGTATGGAGATTAGATGCCAAGGCAGTTTTCAGGTCACCCGACGGGTACAGTGCAGCAGGTTACCAGCACTCCTGCTTATGGGACTGCC